TCTAATGAGTGAGTGCCAGGGTCTGGAATAGGAGTTAAGGTCTCACTTAAGATTGGGCAGGTCGTACCTTGCACAAAGGCTCTGCACTAAGGGGGCAAGTGGGTACTGAAACCCAACTTATATTCCACTAAGCTATGTGCCCACAGAGCAACATCTTCCAGAGGAAGCAATTTAAAAAATTTTTTTCCCAAAGAGTAATATGGGCTATTCTGGAAGTACCTGCCTCCCTTAACTTTTCTTTTTCTTTTTTCTTTTCTTCTCTTTTTTTTTTTTTTTTTTTTTTTTGAGACTAGTCTTGCTCTGTCATCCAGGCTGGAGTGCAGTGGCATGATCTCAGCTCACTGCAACCTCCACTTCCCGGGTTCAAGCGATTTTCATGCCTCAGCCCCCCAAGTAGCTTGAATTACAAGTGCAGGCTCCCGCACCCATAGAAATGGGATTTTACCATGTTGGCCAGCCTGGTCTAGAACTCCTGGCCTCAAGGGATATGCCTGCCACAGCCTCTCAAAGTGCTGGGGTTACAGGCGTGAGCCACTGCACCTGGCTGCCTCCCTTAACTTTCAAGCCAGCGTCACCCTGAAAGACATCCTCATGTACAACCTGCAGTGTGCAGGGAACATGAATGTACCAGGTAGACTCTGGACAGTAAGGAGGTCAGCAGCAAGTCCAAGAAAGTGTACTCAGGTCTGTTTGACCCCAGTCAATGAGGTCCACATTCACCTTCAGGAAATCCTGGTCAGTCAACAATGATTTAAACCAATTCCTTCACCACTCCCAGGCAAAGTCCCTGTGTAAGTAAAACTTCCAGCGATTCCCAAAGATAGTACCCCCATCTCAGCAGACAGTGAAGGCCCCTGCTCAGCCCTGGACCTGCAGGCCTTCTGCCCACAACTGTCAGACCTCACAGGAATGGAAAGGAAGGCTTCTGGAGACACGTACTGCAGGGAACAAGGTGACAAAAAAGGCAAGCTGACATCAAGCCCAAACCCCAGTAATTTGGAGGACAGTATCCCTGGTAACAGAAACAGAGACAGAAGGAGGTCTCCAGGAAGAAGGATGAGTTCTTTATGCATGCCAACTTTCACGTGTTAAACATGTCATGCCAGCCAGGCGCGGTGGCTCAAGCCTGTAATCCCAGCACTTTGGGAGGCCAAAACGGGCAGATCACGAGGTCAGGAGATCGAGACTATCCTGGCTAACACGGTGAAACCCCATCTCTACTAAAAAATACAAAAAAATAGCCGGGCGAGGTGGCGGACGCCTGTAGTCCCAGCTACTCCAGAGGCTGAGGCAAGAGAATGGCGTAAACCCGGGAGGCGGAGCTTGCAGTGAGCTGAGATCCGGCCACTGCACTCCAGCCTGGGTAACAGAGCGAGACTCCGTCTCAAAAAACAAACAAACAAACAAACAAACAAAAAAAAACAAAAAAAAAAGTCATGCCTTCTATCCATGGAACCTTCATATACAAGGCCCTATGTGTGATATTTACAAAAGCCCTAACCCGATTCCCTTTCTATAGATATTGATATGCAGAGAAACAAAATAATTTGGCTTAGGTCACATAGCTAGGAAGTGGCAGAACTAGCAAGTGGCAGAGGTGGGCCCTCTTGATTCAAAAGACACTCAACCAGTGTGTGTAGTCTAGCTTAGAAGTCCTCGGCCTGAAGATAAAGATGAAGGAAGTAAGATAAAAGGAATGAGGCCAAGAAACAGTGAGGCAGATGGAAAGAAGGAAAAGAAAGGTACAAAGGTAGTAGAGGGTGCACCCTAATAACTCCTCACAGATAAAACAATACAGCTACTCTGACCAGCTATCAATGCAGTTCAGAAACGCAAAGACTGTCAGAGCAGGAAAGGACCTGTGTGCTCCCAGCCTCCCCGTGTTACAGCTGAGGAGTAGAGGGCCAAGGCATCTAGTGGCTTCCCCAAGGTTCTCCAGGCTGCTGTGGAGGCAGAACCATGGCCAGGGCCCTGGCCTCCTGGCACTCAGGCCTAATAGCTTCCATCATGCTGTGCCACTGAGATTATTATCATCAGTGATGATGGTGCCATTAACAGCCATGGCCACCACTATCTGGTTTTTTAGCACCAGTCACCCTGGAAGCCATCTTCATTTTGTGACTTGAAGAAAACACTGCCCTGGTCATGTGAACACAAGGGGAATGGAAAATTCCAGGTCAGGGAACAACACCCCCTCCAGGCATCCTTCTTCACCTGCCCTGCCTTCAGAGGCGCCAGGCCCTTTTGTCCCACCACCAGTTAATATTTCACTTGGGTGAGACTTTAGGGAACAAAGAACACAAAGCTGGCCTTGAGGGGCCAAAGGTAGGCAGCCCATGGTTCTCGACGCGGCTCATAAATAAGAACAGGGCAAATGTACTTTGGATAAGGACGCGCTCAGCCTCCCGCAGAACAGCTGGGGAAGCTATTCATAGGAAAGCGTGCTATTTGCGTCTGCCTGGCATTTGAATGAGGCTCACCTAACTGCGCCTGCCCTCCCCACAGATGTGAGTCACGCTCCCCACTCACGAGTGAGGAGTGGCCAGGGGCAAAGGAGAATTGCTTCTTGGCTCAGCTGAGAGAACTGTGGTGGCCGGGAGCAGCACTGCCAAGGATATCTTCCTCCCCCTGGCAGGGAGGGCCTCCAACTGAGAACGCTTATTCTTACAGAGCCTGACTCCCCTCCATGTGAGAGAGGTGCCTCCTTGGACCCTGCTACTTTGTCCCTTGGCCCTTGGTCAAGCACAGGGGACAATTTTCAGCCTCCAACCCCTTGCTGGTGACTTTGGCTGTCTTCTCACATCTCGAGTACTCGGGGAAAGCCAGTCAGAGCAGCGTCGGAGGCCAGTTCCAGTGTCACGCTGCCGTCCTCTGAGTTCTACTGGTCCCTGGTCTCCAGTTGTGGAGCTTACGAGACGAGCTGTGGAGGTGAAGTGGGGGCGATTCCTCCCCATTAAGCAGCACTGCCTACTTCTGAAGGTCATCCACCAATGCTCCTGCCTCCTGTAGCATCCAGTGCAGTTCTGGCCTGGTTCTGAGCCGAGGGTGTGCTGGAAGCAGGGCCCATTATGGTCCAAAATAACCTTGGGAGGTCAAGCCCAGCCCTGGGCATCCCTCATCCAAGGAGCCCTGACGGGGGGTCTCCCAGGGCCTAGCTGAAGAGTCAGTTCCACTCCATAGCAGCACTGATGGTTCAGATCAGTCTCAGGCCCGTAAGAAAAACTCCAGTTCTGCACCAAAGCACAGTGGCCTTTGGAGTCCATCAGACTCCAAGCAATAGGAAGGGCCAAGCCCTTCTCCCGTTGGAGGTTCTCATACACCTGTGGGTCCAGAGAGGGGCTACCCACCGTGATCCCGGGAGCTGTGGTCTAAGGGGTCTCTGTATACCTGGTACATACTCAGCGGTGATTTGGGGTTTTTCATTAGTGAATGGCTCAGCTCCTCAGCTAGACCATAAACTTCTCAAGGGAACATGCTGTGCCCTTATCTTTGTGTGCCTGCATGGCAGCACACAGCCAGCATGCAAACCATGACCTCATACGCACTTAACACTTGACTATATCTCTTTGGCTACCAGACTCTGCTCCTCGTGGACAAGGACTTCTTAATTCTGTGTTTCTGAATGGCCTAGTGCTGGCTGTGACACAGGGTAGGTATATAATTGATGGTGTTGATTTGAATTGTCCAGTTTGAGCAAATAATTTTCTAAATAAGTCGACATTATGACACAATGGACATAGATGAGACTATTAATGCATTTGAAATTTACACTAGTGGACACATGATGGTAGATGTGATAGATACATGAACCCATGCAAATTCCAACTTCGAGAAACTAGTAACCTATTTAGAAATTAAACTTTCTCCTGTTCTTCATGGGCAAAGATGATCCAAGCATGGAGGACATGACATTTAAGCCCTCTTCCCAGTGGAAGGGATGTGTCTCCAGCTAAATTTTTCTCTCAGTCAACATTTATGGGCAACTACTGTGTGTTAGGCACTGTACTATGGGCTTAGTATTCAAAGGAAAACAAGGCACAGGTGAATCGTGAATGGAGAGCTACGGATCTAGTGGGGCTAAAGGCACTTTCTCAAGGAACTCATGGCACTGAAAGAGCTGCTGCTTGAGAAGTGTGGCCTAAGCTCCATGGGCATGAGAAGCGGTGAATTCTTCCTGGGCCCAGAAAGGGAGGATGAAATTAGGAAAGGTCTCCCAGAGGAGCGGATGTTTGAAGGACGGACAGATCCAGATGGACAATAGAGTGTGTATTCTAGGCTTGAGGGTATTAACCAAAGCATCGAACCCCCTCAGTTCTTTGGGAGTGGAACAATCTCTTCTGCTCTCATTGTGGCTGGTGGCCTAATTGCTGACCAAGGTCAGGGTGACACCTTTGGCCAAAGAATGGGACATTTGCTTCTAAGTCAGCCAAGGGCTCTTTCTGTCTGAAAATAGCTGCCTGAATTCATTTCCCCAATTAGTCCCAGAGGCCAGAGATAGGAGCAGGCTTTCTCCACGTGCAGGGCAGAAACTGCAACTAGAAAGCCGGCGCTGCAGCATGAGGAACCCCTGGGGAGCTGGCAGGAGGCCATGCCTGGCCACACCTTGAGGTCTGACCGGCTACGTTTGGACGGACCCTCTCTAGCTCTTTCCCTGTCATGTGACTGAAAACCTTATCATAATGAAAGCCATAAAAATGCCAAACTTTAACCTTATTAAAGTCACACTGTTCTGGTCTTGGCAATCTTAATAGGATTTTACAACTCAACCTCTCTGACTAGAGTTCTTGAACAGCGCAGGGTCTGTGAGGGTCCGTGATGGGTGACTTAATGCCTTCAAGGACGAGTGCCCATCCACATTCCCACCCTCCCTGTGTCCGTCCACCACCCGTGCTCACTGTGGCCTTCCATATGGCCTGCTGTTTTGTTACTCACAGAAACAGATAAATTTCCACTACCCTGGACCCCGGGAAAAACATATGAGCATACCCTACAGCACTTACCAGCTGACATAGTATTTTCCTCCAGATTATTGAAGCACAGTGGAATTTTAGCACTTGCTGTAATGATTAATATGTCAAATCCATATTGCAGGAGAGGCAAACAGGAGAGTGATGTGAGAACCTAGGAGGAGGGAGGAAAAACAATGGGAAGGGAAGAGAGGCGGCAAAGTCAAAGACGGGCAGGGAAGGAAGAGAAGAACAAGGGAGGACGGGGTGAAGAGAGGAACACGGACTCCCACAGGAGCTGGATCAGACAGGCTCGAGCACATTTAGGGACTTCCTTCTGTCCACGGTGACATTGGTAGGAAGGTGGGTCAAGTCAGTTCCTGAGGAGAGGCCTCCCAGGAGCAGTTATTAGCATAAGGTTCTACATATTGGGAGGCCATGGACCTCGAAGATTTGAGAAAAGGTATGGGGTTTATCCCCAGAAAAAAAAAATACACATAAAGAGGTTTACTTAGGGGTTTACTAAGCCCCTAAACCTCTATAAAAAAACACAGAAATGAAAACCCCCTGTGTTCAGCTGATAGTGTTTCTGGAGCTGGGACTGTGTCATCCCTGTCAGCATCCCCTCTCCATGTGATGCCTTTCAGAAACAAGTTTGGAAAGGTGACAGTGGCATCAGCCACAATACACATTCTTTTTGCTGAGCCTCTGTTTTGCCCTGTGAGCGCCCACCCTCTCCTCCCCACGTGCAGACCCACCGCCATGCAGCTCCCAGGAGGAGGTTATGCTTACTCACAGGGTCCCTTCCTCCAACTTTAGGTAGTCCAGTGCCCCTACATGAAGTGGTGTCCATGCTGTGCGTGAATATGCTCTGCAGTCTTGAGACCATTACACAGCTGGACAGAGAAATGCCTGGCCAAGCCACCAATGGGAAATACTTTGCAATGCAAATGAGTCCTCCAAAGCCAAGCATTCCCTTCTCCTGCTAATTACTTTTACCTGGTTGCGTTAGAAATCCTGGCCAACATGGTGGAACCCCGTCTCTACTAAAAATACAAAAATTAACCAGGCATAGTGGCACGTGTCTGTAGTCCCAGCTACTCGGGAGGCTGAGGCAGGAGAATCACTTGAACCTGGGAGGCAGAGGTTGCAGTGAGCCAAGATCGTGCCATTGCACTCCAGCCTGGCGACAGAGCGAGACTCGGTCTCAAAAAAAAAAAAAAAAAGAATGGCTTCATATTTTGTAAAGTCAGGAGCTGGCTCAATGTTAATGTCATTGTCTCTCCTGAAATCACCTGTCAGGGCAAGAGGGCTCTGAATTTCCTTTCTTATTTCTTGATCTAAGCGTGCACATAGTGTCATGGGCCAGGTTAATTAAAGCTCACTGAACATCACATACTATCCTCTGAACAATCATACATGTTGCTTCTTTAAAAGCAGAAAAGAAAAAATCAGGTTCTGTATGCCCTACCAAGCTTAAATCGTCTCTGTGATGGGAACTGTACAAAAGTCAACAGGTCACCAACAAACACGACTTTACATACTCAGTAGGTGAAAGAATGAGCCAATTCATAGACTTCATTTCTGATTGTACGTTTTAACATTTTATTTTAAAAGAATTGTAAATCCACAGAAGGTACCTAAAAGGTGGAAACAACTCAAATGTCCATTGATGGATAAATGGATAAATGTGGTATAGTGGTCTGCCCTTATCCTGGGGGGATACATTCCAAGATCCCCCAGTGGATACCTGAAACTATGGATAGTACCGAACCCAACTACTGTCAGTGGCAACACGTTTCTGTTCACATATTCCGCCTACATAAATTGTATGTAGGTACATACATAAATTGTATGTAGGTATGTACACTATTTCCAGCTTAACTAAACACTTACCAGTATTGTGGTCGTAACTTGTGGTTTGAGGTGTGACAGCAAAACTAGCACAAATTTCTTTTTTCTCCTTCACAATTTCACAGATAGAAGATTCGTTCCTAACTATAGATCTTAGCAGCCTCAGCATACCATTTTTTTTCTTTCCTGTAGTCGAGAATTTTCATCTTTTCACTTAAAGGAAGCACTTTATGGTTTCTCTTTGGCATATGTGAGTTGCCAGCATCACTACACTTGTGCTTTGCGGCCGTTACTAAGTAAATTAAGGGTTACTTGAACACAAGCACTGCGATACTGGGGCAGACAACCTGACAACCAAGATGGCTATTAAGTCCCTACTGGGTGGAGAGTGTAGACAGATGGACACGTTGGACGAATGGAGGGTTCGTGCCCTGAGCAGGATGGAGCAAGATTTTTTTATACCACTTAGAATGACTCACAGTTCAAAAAGTATGAATTGTTTATTTCTAGAATTTTTCATTTAATATTTTTGTATTGCTGTTGACTGTGGGTAATTGAAACTAAGGAAAGTAAAATTATGGAAAGGGGGGGTGGGCTACTATACATACATATAATGGAACAGTATTCAGTCTTAAAAAGGAAAGAAACTCTGATATGTTTCTACGGCATGGATGAACCCTGAAGACACTATGCTAAGAGAAATAAGCCAGTCACACAAAGACAAAAACTCTGTGATTCCACTTAGATGAGGCACTTATACGAGTAGTCAAATTCAAAGAGATGGCAATTCGAATGGTGTCCGCCAGGGGCTGGGAGGTGAGGGGAATGAGGAGTTGTTTAATTGGTATGAACTTTCAGTTTGGGAAGATATAAAAAGTTCTGGAGATGGTTGGTTGTGTTTGTTGCATAATAATGTGAATGTATTTAAAGTCACCAAACGGTGCCTGTAAAAATAGTTACAATAGTAAATTTTATGTTATATATATTACCACAATCAAAAATTGACAAGGAAGTCCCACAGACACTTCACTCGGCCAATCCAATGCAGCAGTTCTCTGGGAAGAACTTTGTGTTCTGGGGAGGGTGGGGCTTCTTACTGAAGGGCAGGTGTCAGTGTAGGTGAATAAGCAGGTAGGGTGGGGGTTGGGTGAAGGTGAGGTCATTCAAGGCGACTCTTCGGCCAGGTAGAAATGAAGGAACAAGATTGAAGTCACCGCCTCCCCCAAAACAGAACGGAGGTTCTTTGAGCCTTTTCCTCCAACTCTCCTTCACCACATTCATGCCTTAGCTTCCCAACGTTGGCCTTTTTGCTACTGGCAACCTGAATAGTTTGCATTTCTAGACAAATAGGTGAAAGAAAAGAGCAGCCATAACCCAACATCCCTGTAACTGCCCCGAGGCCCCAGATCCTGGGACTTTCCCCAATAGCTGGATACTTCCTCCTCTGTGAAAAATAACAGGGATTGGCTGGAGCTAACCCAAAAAGCAAGCAGACGTAGACACAGGCTCTTGGAAAATACCAAATGCTATTCAAACCTAGAGATTTAGTTTCCCCACCCCCAAGGACCCCGGAAGAGGCTGCTCACAGCTGGGTGAGGTGCAGTACTTTCCATAAGGATCGTCACCTGGCTCTTTCGAGGGTGGGGGGGAGCAGGTACCGCTCTTCTCTGGGCATGTGTACCTCCCGGGTGTCCTTCATGGAGCTGACACAGAGTGCCTTACACAGAGACTATGGCCTCTCTGGAAGAGTAAGATCTTTCTGTAGCTCTTGAGATGCAGTATTTGACACCAATAAAGGCTTTGGCCACCTCCTCAAACTTTGAACTTTTTTATTTTCTAGAGATGGGGTCTTGCTGTGTTGCTCAGACTGGTCTTGAACTCCTGGGTTCAAGCAATCCTCCTGCCTCAGCCTCCTGAGTTGCTGGGACTATAGTTGCCAGCCTGGGTTTTTATCTAGATCTTAATAACCAGAGTTGCTGTGCACTCTATGTAGGATTTGGCTTACTTGGCAAACTCCATGTCATAAACTCAGTATTTTTTCAATAAACTCAATATTGATTTACTATGGTCTGGCAGCCGAAGTAGCCCAAACTTCTGACCTGTATTCTGTAAGGTGGAAGATTGGGCCTTTTAGTAGAAACCTCCAAGACCTAGGAATCTCTATTGAGACCCTGGGGTTAATGCAGTCTCCACCAAATCCAAGTGCTGGCTGGGAGACAGGAGTCAGCAGGATTTCACCAGGATGGTCAATTTTTATCCAGAATAGGGCTATGCCTGCATTAATTTGTCACCAGTGGAATGAAAATACAAACCCGCTGAGTATGATAGTTTGATATGAGGATTGGTCAGTTATATAGAAAATTTAAAACAGAAAGCCCATGAGAAGTTTGCCTTTGTAAGTGCCCATTAACTGCTTCCTAACAGGGTGACAGAGAGCTGGTGCCGCCACAGGGAGTGTGCTGGTCAGAGCGGACCTCCTCCCCAGGTGGACGCCATGACCCTTGACATCCTCCAGATCAAAGCTTCACTTTCCCTTGCTCACAGTGGCCTCTTAGACAACCATGTCTAAACCAGACCCTGCCTGCTATTCTTGACCAGACAGAGAGAACAGCCTGAGTGAAGACTCTAAGGGGGGAAGAGAGCATGGCATTAGTAGGGCCTGGCAGAAGGCCAGGATGATGGCCACAGTGAGTGCTGGGAAACGCAGCACAAGATAAGCCTGGAGAATTGACAAGGGCCGGTCTGTGCAGAACCTGAGGGCCACAGCGAGAAGTCTGCCTTTTCTCCCCATGCCCAGAGCAGGGAAGAAGGATTTGCAAGTTTCTCACACATGCCTGGGCTTAAGCAAAGCTTTCTGGTCTCCTTCAAGCCATAGCGCAGGGTGGTATTTGCCGTGCCTGACTCCCCAAGCTAGGCACTGGGAGTCCAAGTAAACCATCTGGAGGGGTCAACAGTGACATGAACAGATAAGCCACAGCACAACGGGACTTGAGCTAGAGGAAGAGAGAGGAATGTCCTCGGATGTGGGGGCAGGAGCAGGAGGGCTCCAGGAAACCTCGCACAAATCTTTGGGCTGCCTAAATCCCACTGCTCCATGTCTAGGTGGCTGAAGTGCCTCCTGGCCTGCCTCATCCCCTCCTCTGGCCTGTCCTCTTTACCAGCCCTGCCACCTGCCCATTCTAAGATGCTCCACCCTTCCTTGGAACACGGAGTTCTCTGCCACTGGACTCTGGGGAAGGTGAGATTATTGAGTCAGGCGGGCGAGCGTGAGAGGGAAGGAAGAGGGAGGGAGGTCAAAGATAGGAGGTGAGCTGGAGAAGAAAGGGACTGTTTTGAGGATTCCCCCTCACACATTCTGGCTCTTACCTCTGACCAAAAGCAAAGGGAGCACCTTTTACCAATGGAATGAGGCCAGGGTGTGTTGGCTTACGCCCGTAATCCCAGCACTTTGGGGAGGCCCGGGTAGGAGGATCACTTGAGCTCAGGAGTTCAAGACCAGCCAGGGCAAGATAGTGAGACTCCATCTCTACAAACATTTTTTTTTAATTAGCCAGGCATGGTGGCATGTGCTTGTGGTACTGGCTGCTTGGAGGCTGAGGTGGGAGGATCTCTTAAGGCCAGGAGATCAAGGTTACGGCAAGCCATGACCATGACACTTCACTCCAGCCTGGGTGACAGAGTAAGACCCTGCCTCTAAATTAAATCAATCAATCAATATCAATTAACTAACTAACCAACCTGTCTATCGGGGTCAGTCAGCTCTTATGGTCCCACCTAACTTCCGCTTTGCCTTCTCCTGCAGCAGCAACGCCATCGAAAGCGCTTACTGTGTGCCAGGCAGGCATTGCACACGGACGGGGACTAGGAGTTCAGATGGTCAGCTGGCCTGCTGCCTGGGGACAGGGAGTTTCCCAGGACCTGGGACTTTCGGTACTAAAACCAGGACAGTCCTGGGCAAGCTGGAACAGCTGGTCACCTGGTGGGAACTGAGCACCCATGGAGTCAGCAGAGAAGGTAGGCAGCACCACAGCATGGCTGGTGGTGGGAGCAGGCAGGAGACGTTTCCTTCTTAGCACTGGAAGCGCCACTCTGGTCTCTTAGCTCCCTTCCTGAATGGAGCTCCACCTGTTTTTATGAGGCGGCC